TTTTTTTTTTTTTTTTTTTTTTTTGGTACCAGGGATCATACATCATACTCAGGTCTTGCACTTGCGAGTCAGGCAGTGGAACTACTGAGCTAAATCCCCAGCCCTTCTGAAGCTTTTTTAAATGGAAAAATTTTGGGTCTGCATAGTAGATAGGACAAATCTGATAAAATGACAGTTGTTCTCCCAAAACGGTATTTGACACATAATAAACTTCTTTGTTGCTGTTTTTAAGATGAGGTCTTACTGTGTTGTTCAGATTGACCTCAAACACCTGAGCTCAAGAGATCCTTTTGCTTCAGCCTTCTGAGTAGCTGGAACTACAAATGCCTATTATCGCACTGAGCTTACATCTAGTAAACTTTTTTGTTTTGGTACCGGGGATCGAGCTCAAGACCTTATGCTTGTAAGGCAGGCGGCAGAACCATTGAGCTAAATGCCCATCCTCTAGTAAACTTTTAATGCCTGTGGATTTGTAAAGTTTCCATCTGTTGGTGATATAATTAGCCTAGAAGGCCTGAAGCTGTCAGTCTTGAGAAACACAGATGTGTTAATGATTTGAACTGAGATGGACTTTAACTCATGCCTGCAAAGCATTATGGGCCAGTGTCAGGACTGTGCTGGGACCAGGAGGAACTTTACTTCTGAGGAAAACACAAAAGCAGAGGCAAACAGCATCTAGGCCACCACCCAGCCTGGGCACAGCTCTGGAGCCCTGTGATTTTCCAGGGGCTCAGGTGTGGTAGCCCCAGAGTAGAGGATGTAGCCCTAGCAGGAGCGCCCTGGGGCTCAGGTGGATCCTGCTGAGTCTGAGCCCGGCTCCAGGGCTACAGTTATGTCCTCCCAGGTTCTAGGGCCCCAGGAAATCCAGAAGTCATGAAGTAGGTGAGGGAAAGAGGAACCGCTGCCTAATGTGGATTATTCTGAATCAACTTTCAGTTGAACATAAAATTAACGTCTGGCTGGTAACCCGGGGGATGTAGCTCAGTGGTACCGCACCTGCCTTAAGTGCAAGGTCCTGAGTTTCATTCCCTGTACCAAAAATTAACTGTATATAGTATTTGTTTATTATAAAATATCTAAGTAGCTTTGTGTGTGTGGGAGGGAGAGGGGGGAGAAAGACGGGGAGAGAGAGAGACTGGAGATTGAACCCAAGGCCTTCAAACTGAGCTACATTCCCACCCCACTTTTTTTTTTGGAGGCAAGAGTCTGGCTCAATTGCCTGGGCGTGGCTCAAATTTGTGATCCTCCTGCCTCTGCCCCAGGCAGAGTGCTGCCTTAGCCCAAGGCGTGCACCCTTGTGCCCAGCTCCAAGTAGTAGGCTATTAAAAACCCATCAAACCACTTATATTACAGCTGATTTGTCAGGGGACATGTTTTGTAGTATCTTTCAAAGTGTGAGGAACCTGTGTTTCTTAGACTGTCAGGGTGGTTCTGTCCCTCAACCCTGGGTACAAAGTCACTTACTGTTTGGAGGCAGCAAACGATTTGGCCTCTTAATGCAGTGTGTTGTAAAATTATGTACACAATTTATAACTTATGTAATTTAATGTTTTTTTTATTTTTGTAACAGGTGGTTGAAGATTGGAAGTTCATAGCCCAGGTTCTTGATCGGATGTTTCTGTGGACATTTCTTCTGGTTTCAGTCGTTGGATCACTTGGGCTTTTTGTTCCTGTTATTTATGAATGGGCCAATATAATAATACCAGTTCACATTGGAAATACAAATAAGTGAAACTTCCCAAGGGGTTGTGGAATGAGTTTAGTTATAGCAAACACATCTCTTACAGCATCTGTACCATTATGAAAATGTAAAAACTGTTTTAAAATTAATTGCAAGCTATAGCCAATTAGCTGTTGGTAATACTGGTTTATGTTAGTAGATTGTCCATTAGAACATCTACTTGCATGGTTAAAGTAATAATGAAAAACAGCAACAAAACAGTATCTAAACTGTACTAGAGAAAATCTCTTTGTATCCTGGCAAATAATACTAACTCATAAGCACCGTGAAGTTTCGTCTTCGGAGTCTGGGAAAACTTCGTTTGTATTTGAAGATAGATTTAAATTTTTGTCAGGATTTATGAAGGTATGTACTTTTTATTTTGGTCTTGTTTTTTGGAGATTGGATTCCGCTAAGTTGTCTAGGCTGGGCCCAAACACATGGACTCAAATGATTCTCCTGCCTCGGCTTCCTGAGTAGCTGGAACTATAGGCATGTGTCACCATGGCCTGCGAAAGTATGCATTCTAAAATTCTTCTGTCCTGTATTCACAAACAGGTAACTTTTAGTCTGTCATACTGCTATGTTTAGTAAGCTGACTACTCAGGAAATAAATACTTAATGTGATGCTGATATTCTATAAACATCTTAAATAAATGAACAATGGGGACTGGAAACTCCTTCAAGGCTCACTTCATTCTGTAGATGCTTACACTGAGTGTTGTACCAACTATTTTTGTACCTCGCCTTCCACTGTGAGATCATACAACAGATAACTCCTGTGGATGTGCTTCAGGATATCCATCAGCAATAGGATATCCTAACATTAATTCCAGTCTCCTTGTCCACACTCCCCACAATAGAGAGAGTCATTTATAGGACTGTGGTAGTATCTCTTTATCCTTGATCTTAGAACAGTCTACTGCAGTTACACAGATCCCATTTTACAAGGATGTCCAAGTGTAGATCACTCTGTAAGAAAGCTGTCTTCCAAGTTTAAAGATTGTATTCCAAGGTGGTATAGTCAGATGGTTACATACCTATAATGTTTCAATATTTTTTTCATTCCAGCAATTACAGTAACCTTAGAATTGCAAGGGCCTTTAGATATAATCTAGTGTTTCTATTACTAGTAAAGTATTTATCAGTACAGTACAATGTATCACAGGTAAACAGTTAAATGTCATCTCTTAAATGACCCTGACTTACCTATGATCAGAAAGAACACATTGATGGGAAACTTGGATTTGATTTAGAACTTTTAGATGTTCAGATAACAAATGGCTTTTTTTTCTTTTCTTTTCTTTTTGGCACTGGGGATCGAACTTGGGACCTTGTGCTTGCAAGACAGGTGGCAGCACCACTGAGCTAAATCCCCAACCCGTGTCTTGTTTATTAATAGAAAGTAACCCACCTGTGTTCAAGCCACTACTCTTTATTGTAGGCAGGCACTTAAAACCATTTAGTGAGTGAAAAATCTGTGCTGTAGCTGGATAAGTGTACCCCGGAGGCCCAGGCATAAAAGTCTTGGTCCCCGGCCTATGGTGCTTTTGGGAGGCGGAGCTTGTGGAAGGAAGTTAGGTCACTGGGGGTATGGGCTTGGATGGGAGGTTGGGGCCCTGTCCCTTTTCTCACTGCTCCATGGATGCCATGAGGGGAAGAGCACTGCTCTGTCACATGCACCTGCCTCACCACAGGCCCAAACACCAGAGCCAACCAAATAGAGACTGAAATCTCTGAAACAGCCAAAATATACCTTTCCTCTTTAATTGGCTCAGGTATTTTGTCACAGAGACAAAAGACTAATACAGATAATTGGAACTGGGGTTGCTGTTGTGCCTTTCTTGACAGTGTTTCAGAAACCTTTGGAATTGGTTTGTGAAAGGAATTGGGGAAATTTTGGATGCTATAAACAGAGCTTAAGGGGTGATTCCAGGACTTAGAAGGTGAGAATGCTGACAAAAATATGGACAGGAAAGGTTGTGTACAAGAGGTTTCAGATGGAAATAAGGACACTGTTGGGAATTAGACACCTTCTATTATATTTTGGCAAAAAATATGGATTGCTTTTGTTTATGTCCTGAGACTGTGGGAGGTTGACTTTAAAGGTAATGGACTAGTTTCTAATCTGACAGAGGAAATTTCAAGGTAGTTCAGCATTCAGCTATAGCGTGGGTATTCCTGGCTGCTTTGTGGCAGATTTACAGTGAAAGCAAAAAAGTGGAGAGAAAAGATCTGGGAAACTTAGTTTAGCTGAAGGAGTATGTTTAAAGGTGCTATCAAAGAAGATACAGCTGCTAAAGAGATTAATGACATTTTTAAAAAGCCACATACTTTGCACAAGGACAATAGGAAAAATGCCTTGAGGGCATCTCAGGAATCTACAAGACCTTACCCACCACAGGCTTAGAAATGGAAAGGTACAAGTTTATTCCAAAAACTCCTTAGAAAAAAGAGCCCCAGGATGCCCTGCTTGTACAGGGATAAGTAGGGAATTGTCTCCCTGGGATTCAGTTCCTGTTTAGCAGTGGAGTCATTCAGGCCACTACAGCCATTGTTCAGCTGGGCCTCTGCACAGTTCCTGCTGTGATGCTCATTTCCCTGGCATAGATGCAGAATACAAGGGCTATGGAGTCATGGATGCTCCCATCATGATTTTAAAGGACAGCATGGGAGGCCTGGGGGTGCGTGACAGGGTAAGAGTCCCTGCAGGAGCTGGAGAGGTGACACATGAAGCTGTGGGATTGAGGCTGCAGTGGAGACTGTGTGGGCTGTGGGCAGCAAGGCCATAGAGGCCAGACTGTCCAAATCCTTGGGATCCTACATTTTGCCACTGTGCACCCTGAATACCAGACATGGAGACCATGTTTGCCCTGAGGGGTTTGTCTTGTTTTAGTCTGACCCTTCTATCTGTACCTCTATTCCTCTTTTGAAATACAAATGTTGACCCTATTCCAATGAATCTTGGAGTATGTAACTTTCTTTTTGATTTTCATAGGAGATCACAGCTAAGTTTGCCAAGTCTTGATGGAAACTTTGGACTTAGACTTTTAAGCAATTCCAGAACAGTTAAGGCTCTGGGAACTCTTGAAGGAGAACTAAATCCATTTTGCATTGTGAGATGGACATGAACCTTTGGGGGCCAGTGATGGAATATTATGGTTTGGGTAAGTGCTCCCTGAAAGCCCTTGTGTTGAAGGCTTGGCCACCAGTCTGTGGCACTCCTGGGAAGTGGTGGAACCTTCAGGAAGTGTGGGGCCTGGCAGAGAATGTGAAGCCATTGAGGGTTTGCCTGTAAGGAAGTACTGGCACCCAGCACCTTCCTCTTTGTCTTGTGTCCCCCACAAGAAGAACAGTTGTGCTCCACGACATGCTTCATACCTTGATGTGCTACCTCACAACAGGCCAGCAGACCAGAGAGAGAACTGGGGGCCACATTAACCTTTCATTTTTTATTAGTACAAGTTTGTAGTGCACAGTGATTACATTCATCAAAGGAAGATGTTATTAGTACAAGTTTGTAGTGCACAGTGATTACATTCATCAGAGGGAGTTGGTACATGTACATAACACATCTTAATTCTATTTATTTCCCCTTCCCTGTCCCTTCAACTGTAGTCCCTTTCCCATTTGCAAATGATCTCCCTAAGTCCTATTATACATCCTTTATTTTGCTCTTCAAATTCTTTATACTTTGGATTTCTCATAAGAAAGAAACCATTAGATATTTAAGCTTGCATGTCTGATTTATTTCAATTATTACGAATCCTTAACATTCAGAATCCTTCCATTTTTCCCACAGATGGCTCAGTTATCTTTCTTTATGGCAGAGTAGTATGCCATTGTGTCTAAATACCACATTTTCTTTATCCATTCATCTGTTGATGGACATATAGGCTGCTTCCAAGATTGAGCTCTTATGAGTTCTGCTATAAACATGGGTATGAACGGATCATGGTAATATGATGTCTTTAACTCTTTTGGGAAGATACTTAGAAGAACAGCTAGGTCAAATGGAGTTCTAGTTTTACTTTCCTGAGGAATGCACAGTGGTTATACTAATTTACAATTCTACCAACAGAGTTCCCTTCTCCCTGCAGCCTCTCCAATATCTGTTTATATGATTTATTAATAGTAGCTATTCTGGAGTAAGTTGTTTTAATCTGCATTTATCCCATGGCCAATGATTAACATTTTTTCCTGTATTCATTGACCATAGTACTTCTGAGAAATGTTTATTCATTTCACTTATTATTTGACTGGGTCTTTTATTGGGGGGGTCTGATTTTTTGGGGGTTTATATATTTTAGATATTAGTCCTCTGAGGAATAGCTGACAGATACTTTCACCATTCTGTAGTTTGTCTCTTCACTCTTCTTTGCTGTCTAGATGCCTTTTAATTGAATACAGTCCCATTTGTTGGTGCCTGATGTTATTTTTTTGTGCAACTGGGGTTCTGTTCAAAATGTATACAAGACCTGTGGTTTTGTGGGTGCCATAATCCAGGAGTGGTCTGGCTTCTCCTTACAAACCCCCTTGACACTGAAGTTTGGCTCAGGGAGTTTCTCTATTTACCCTCCTGTATCAGACTTTGTGTGAGCCCACACCTCAGGGAACCCGATTTTCTCCATTGCATGGTTTGGAGACTTCATCCCTTGCTTTCACCACTAGATGACTATGATGGTCTCTCCAACCTTTGTGTTAAGCTGATTATCTCAGGTATGTATCTGTCATAGTGACGGAAAGCTTACTACATTAGACACAAACTGCTCTTGAGCTATCTTAGCTTGTACACATTTTAACATTTTATGTCATTACTGTTAAAGGTTTTTGTGTAACAGTGAATTTTATAGAACTCCTTGACTTACAGAAACATGAGTCACAGGGCTATAATTGTCAGTTTTTATTTTTGTACAGGAAAAAAAGTAACAGTGAGAAGATTTAAATGGTCTCTGATCATTTGTCAGGTTATTCAGATTTAGAAATGTAGTGTGGTAAAAAATTAACTTACCTAAAACAATGTTTCTCAACTAGGGCCAGTTGTGCCCTTGAGGTGATGTTTAACAATACCCAGAGACATTTTGGTTGTCACAGAGGGAAGGGGGCATGTCACTGGCCTGGGGGGGGGCGTGATGCTGTTCACCATTCTATGGTGCACAGGACAGCCTCTGACCCCAGCCCCAAATGTTTACAGTGCTAAGGTTGTAAAACCCTGCTACAGAAGCTCATGCTGTGGTCTGAATGTGTCTTCCTGAAAAATCTAATACCCAATGTGATAGAGGTGGGGTCTTTGGGAGACCAGTGGGTCACAAGGTAATGCCCTCATGATTGGGATCAGTACTACATAAGAGATCCAGAGGCCAGGCATGGTGGCGCACACCTGTAATCCCAGCACTTGGAGAGGCTGAGGCAGGAGGATCACTGTGAGTTTGAGATCACCCTGGGCTACATAGTGAGTTCCAGGTCAGCCTCAACTAGAGAGTAATACCCTATCTCAAAAAA